CTCCCAGAGCCTTCTCTTCCCCATCTTGAACCAGCCCAGCTCTCTCAACCTGTCTCCAGAGCAGAGCTGCTCCAGCCCCCACAGCATCTCTGTGGCCTCCTCTGAACTCACTCCAACAGCTCCACATCCCTCTTGTGTTGCTGCCCCACCGGTGGACACAGGACTGCAGGGGGGGTCTCCCTAGAGCACAGTAGAGGGACAGAATCCCCTTCCTAACCTGCTGCTCATGCTCTGGGAATGCAGCCCAGCACATCGGGGGGATCTGGGTTCAAGCACACACTGAAGCTGGGTCATGGGGAGCTTCTCATCACCCTGCATGCCCAAGTGCTTCTCCTCAGGGCTGCTCCATCCATCCTCTGCTCAGCCTGGGGATTTCTGCTGGGGATTGCCCCGACCCAGGTGTAGGACCTCACACTTGTTGAGGCTCTCATGGTCCCACCTCTTCAGCCATTCCAGGTCCCTCTGGATCTCATCCCTTCCCTCCAGTGTATCAACCACAATACACAGCTTAGTATCACCACAGACACGCTGGGCGTGCTCGATCCCACCGCCCATGTCGCCGACAGGAGCCCTTTGGCTCTTTCCCCAGGCCCTGGAGGAGGGCGCGATTCGGATCCTCCCCAAAGCCCCGGGAAAGGAGATGCTGCAGCAGGGCGAGCCTGCACCAGCGCCCGCTCGCGCCGGGCCGGGGAAGGGGACCCGCCCGCTGGGGATCGCCGAAGACGAGAGCAGAGGCGAGCGCTGAGCCTCGGAAGTGCCGCGGACACGCTGCCCGCCGGACGGTCCGGCGGGCCCGGCCCCTCCCGTCGGAAGCGACGGTTGCCGGGCAGCGCGGCGGCGCCGGGCCGGGCCTTCGGCTAGCGGACCCACTCCAGGCCCCGCCGCAGGCCGCGGCCTTCCCGGCCTGGCGTAGGGCCCGTCCCCGTACCCACGGCCCGGCCCGCGGCCGGGAGAGCTTCTCCTTGGCCCCCCTCGGTGAGTGCTCGGGAGGGGGGCCGCAGAAATCCCTCGCGAGCCCCAGTATCCCCGCCGGCGCTGCCCCCCGGGCGGCAGCGGGACCTCGGCCCGGCAGAGGCGGGGAGCGGCGCGGGGGAGGGGCTGGGGCCGGTGCCGCCGTGCCCCTTCCAAGGGCAGCCGGGCTGGAGCTTGCAGCCCCGGTACAGTGCCACTGCACCCGCCTGGGTGAAACGCTGGGGGCTCCTGGCTGGTTCTGGCCCCCTATGTCGCGTTTCTGGCAGCGCTTCCCAGAGCAACCCCTTCCCAGGGGTTGAAACCCAGGCAGGGTTTTCCAGGAGTATGTGGTGGTGTTCAGTGGGGTCTTGGATCTTGGTATGGGCCCCAAAACAGGGATTGTATTGATTCCCCATGACAGCACAGCCAGAGCAGGCTGTAGACTGCAGCACGAGGTCCACTTTCCATTGCTGGATGCAGTGTTGCACATGAGCTCCTATAATCTCAGCATGTGGCTCGTCCTTGCATCAAAGAACCCCATGGGTTAAGGTGGGGCCTTTCTTGCATCATCATCCTTTCTAGTTCTGGGAGACGACTGGCACTGTTCAAGGCCAGGTTGGATGGGGCTTGGAGCAACCTGCTCTAGTGGAAGGTGTCTCTGCCTGTGGCAGGGTTTGGAACTGGGTGAGCTTTAAGGTCCCTTCTAGTGCAAGCCAGTCTGGGATTCTAAGATTCTCTGACTTTGTTGCAGTTCTGCAATGCCTTTGCCCACTGTCCAGTGCAGTGTGGCCATCCAGGCTGCTGCAGGACAGTCTGACTCCTTGAGCAGACAGTGCAAGCTGGCTCTGTTTCTAAAGGACTGCTGGTTGACATGTGCCTAGCTCCCAAGAACCATGTTCCACATGCAGATGCCAGTATCACACTTGGCCGTACCTGTCCCTCTTTGTCTTTAGAGAGACAGAAGAGGAAAAGGTGCAGGTGGGGAAGTTCCTGAGGGAACCTGTATGATGAATTCTATTAAAAGGAGAATCTTAATCTCTCCCATTGTAGTCTCCAAGGGGAAAGCATAAGCATGGACTAACATCACAGGGTGGATTCACAGCACATTGACCTAATTTCCTGGTCCCTGATTCTGCAGGAACTATGGTCCCATATACGTGTGCCCACCTGTTTTGGTGCAGTCCTCAAGCATAGAGTTCTCCTGGTGCTACTTCTCATTTCAGCTAAAACTACTGACGGAGAGAGCAGACAAGACCAGCTGCATGGAGATAGCTCTTTGATATTCTGCAGACGACTTGCTCTGCTTATCACAGTTTATCACAGCTGTGGGATTTTTTTTCCCCCATGCTTTTGCAGAGATTGGCTTATAAAGACGTGAAGTGGGGCTTGATTCAGCTCTGTGAGTGGTAGCAAATTCCTGGCCAGGGACACAGGCATAGTGAAAATGTGATCTGTAAAGAAGAGGGAATGCTTCAAAGGCAGATGCAGCAGGTTCCAGGCTGAGAAAAAAAACTGCCAAAGCCTCGTCCCTTTTCATGTTTTGTAGTTTCCTTAACTACAGTGCCAAAAACAAGGCACAAAAGGAAGCTGTGGTTCATAAAGGCTCTGGAAGATCTTAGTTTACTTGGGGGATAAGTACCATTTCTGACACTTGGTAAGCTGGGGCAGAGGACACAAAGAGTTGAATTAATGGGACACTCTGGGAGGGGTAGGGCTGGAGCCTGCTTTGCTTGACTCCTAGGCCAGGGTTAAACGGTGGTGGGGAAGTGGGCAGCCAGCAGCGCTCAGGGTGGTGAGTAAAGCAATGCTGAAGTCGTTAGGTTACTCTGGCAACTGCCCTGCACTTCTTGAGGCTGTGTGAGGCAGAGAGCAGGGTTGGTGCAGCCGTGTTGCTAGGAGGCTGCTCTGCTTGTGAGTTCTGCAGTGTGGCAGAGGGATAAGAAGAGAGAGGAGTCAAATACATACACGTGTCTGTGCCAGGATTTAACCCCTCTGTCTGCATCTCATGGCCTACCAGTGCTCTAAGTAGTTTCTTTCTGGTGGCAACAGACTGGATACTGTATTCTTAATGCTTAAGTTTCTAAGGTGGTGATAGAGAAGATCCCTTCCTCGGTGCAAATTTGAATGTGGCTGGGACAGTGATCAGATCACTACTGGAAAGGGCTGACCCTGGTCCCTCTTCCTCTCTCCTCTGAGTTCATAAGCACATGCTCCTACCGCGTTCCTCTTGCGCTTGCTCCATTGCCCCTCTGATCCCTCTGTGGAGGTTACAGCCAGGTTACTTTTGGACAGAAGGTTAAATGGAGAGAAAACTAACCCAGAAAAAAAAGTGTTGAATCAACTGAGCACAGGACCATTTGCACTACAAGGCTGTCACAAGAGATGAAGCAGAAGGATGGGAATAGCAGCAGAGAGTGTCCACACATCACCTTTGGCAGAAGTGAGCTATGAGAAGTATCCTCAAATACTCCCATGACTGGTAGGAGCAAAGCAGCAGCTTGGGAAGGCTGTTCTCATCATTGGTAGCTGAGCCTTGGCTGCTCCTCAGGGCTAGGAGACTGATACAAGGGGCTTGTGTCCCACGCAGGTGAGTGCGCTGCTGGTACCTAGATAGGCAAGATGCTTATCATTGTAGTAAGGTTCTCTGATCTTGCAAGATCCCAATCCAGAGTTGATGTGACTTGCAAATCAGGGAGTGGGTGTCATTTGCAAATTCCCTGCAGCAGGGCAGGATGCTGTTGGGGTGTGCAATGTGATTATATGACTTGTGTGAAGGTATAGAATGAGCTTTCCATCCCCCGCCGCCCATCAGCTTGCCTTTCCTCCTTCAATCCCCTACAACAATTGCCTGCTCTGGTAACAGGTCATGATTTCAGCCTGTCATTTTGTGTGTAAATTGCTGGGGTTGAATGTGAGTTCAGACCGATAGCATAAACTTCAAGGCCAGTAGCTGTTCTGGAGGGACCTCATGTTACATGCTTTTTTTTTTTTTTTTCTAGAGTACAAGAGCCTCTGCTTACAAGTACTTACTCAGTACTGACAAGAATCAGTAAGCCTGAGCTTAGTGGGATCCATTATCAAGGAGATTAAATAGTACCAAACCCAGTGTCATTTTACCTTAGGCTGAGGGTCTGTGTTTGCTCTTCAGAAACAGCTTTTCCAGAGGAGCTGGGTACAGGCTGTACCTGCATGCTGGCATGCAGTAGTCAGCATTGCTTACGTTACCTCTGCAATTGTATCTGAGAGATGAATAACAGATTTTCACTAATGGGTCTCATGTCAACAGCGGTGATTTAGCAAGGAAGACTGCAGTGCATTAGTTGCCATGACTCAGACTCACCCAGCCTTGTACTGGTGGTTTATTGGTTTATAAATGAAATCGCAGAAGCTGCATCCTGATGGTGCTGGCATGCTGAGATCCTGAAGAGGGTTCATCCTGTCGATGTCCCTCAGAAATCTTTAAGTTACTACCTGAGGAGTCAGGGCTTGCAGGTTTACAGCAGTGACTCCAGCCAAACTGCCCTGGTGCCTGTCAAAATCATGGCATGACTCTGAGGAGGGATTGAGGCTTTTACAGCATCTGCCAAAAGCTCACCAGTGGTCTGTGCCTGTTCCTGTGTCATCTTGCATCCTCGTTTTCTGAATAGGGAGCAAGTCCTTCAAGCTTCACATAGGCAATAGAATGCTGTCCATGAGATCTTCGTGAGTGATGCTAGCTGCTGCTGTGCTGAAAGGATCTGTGCTTCCCTGGCTGTGGGGAGGAGAGAGACAGCAGGGACCAGGGCAGGGATTTGTGGATCTGTGCTGGTCCAGCAGTTAATGTTGAAAAGTTCTTTAGTAATGAAAAAGATGTTTTCTAAACAGGTAACTCTGGTCTCCCTAAGAGCAGGTGGACTCTTTTAAACTCGGGGCTCTTGCCCAGAAATTCAACATCTGCCCCTACATGGTCCTGCAGTGAAATGTTTTTACTCATGTCCTTTTGAGATTCAGCCCCAGCCTGCTCAAGGGTGGTGACAGTGCTGGTGTGTGTCTTGTGGAGAGCAGAGAGTTTACCTGTGTGGGGTATGAACTTCAGCTCACTTTGTGTATGTTGTGTTTGAACCACAGGAGCTATTTAGAAAGAGCCTAAGAACAAGATAATTCAAATCTAAGGCTAAAATGTCTCAGATGATATCCAGCTACCCTGTGTTTCCATTCACTAAAGGCACAAAGGGCAGTTATAGCAGCTCAGGTCTTGCTTGCATGTCTGCAGTAGATGTTCCTCTATGGGAGAGCAGAGCCAGGAAGGATTTTCTGTACTGAAAATATTGATACTACAGTAACTGTGGACATTTCAGGTCTGATGCTAGTAAAAATGCTGATTAGGCCCACAACAGGGACAGTACTGCTGGATCCTTTGCTTCACCTGCATAGAGTCCAATTTGGGGTGATTTGTGGTTTCCTGCTTGCAGTTTATCTCTGTAGGTGAGTGCAAGCTCTCTAATGAAGGTCAGAAGTTCACATGTATATATATATAAAAATGTGGATTTTCAGTGACTCAGTGAGCCCTGTTCATTGCTGTTCTCAGTGGTGGCTGGTTCCTGTGGAGGAGGCAGAACCGTGGCAGGATGTGTGAAGGGCCATCCAGGATTTGTGGACCCATTCCTCCAGACCCTACACTCTCTCCAGGCTATTACAAACTCCCCTTCTCAGGTGAGTCCTTACTGCTTGTTAGGGATGTATGCTTTTGTACTGTGGCTTGGCGCAGCTTGCCCATTTGATGTCCTTACTCTTTGACATCCTCAGCAGTCTCCACTCACACTGATGCAGGTGCTGCCTCATGGATAGTGATCCTAAAGGTGGTGTGTACAGCTGGTCAAAAGATTGGAAAGCATAAGGTAGATGTGGATAAGGGGTTTTCAGCATTGTTTGTAGGCTGTGGGTGAAGAAGACCATGAGGTAAGATAGTTTCCCAATAATTTCTTTCTCTTTCTTTCTCTGTAGCTCGAGGGAGGCTGGAAGGGAGTGCTCTGAAGCTGGGTTTTAGCTCTGACCCTCTGCATCCAGTTTCTAACCCATACAGTGCCCGCCAGGTCCAACCAGCCCCTCGCATTCGCCCCAGTGGAAAGGACTTCCTGGAGAAGGGACAGAAGGGGATGCTCAGTCTCTTATTGCAGCTTGAAGGGCTCTCCCTTGACAGGAGGCTGCCAGTTGAGAGTAAGTATAGCTGAGCTGCTGCTGGCCTGAGCTGTGTTTGGTGCCAGGGATGAAGCATCAGGATTTTGGCTGGATTCCTCAGCTCTGCTTCCTGAGGAGAGCTTGAGATTTGCAGGGCCAGTCACCCTCTCCTGCATTTGGCCTGGTAGTGGTGTCCCTAGGCCATCGCCCGTGTGGGAGCCAGTGCTCCTGTGACCTTCCTGATTCCAGTCTGGCCCAGGTCTGGGATGGGAAAGGAGACTGTAAAAAAGAAGCTGTTTAATTTGTATTTGAGGAACTAGTCATGGATGAGAGGCTATTGAGAGGTGCTGGAAACCAATAAAGCCCTTCTAGTTTGCTGTTTCTGAATACAACCAGTATCTTTACAGTCAAACTTAAAAATGGATTGGGTGAAATCTTAATGTATAGAGGGTGTTTAATCTGGGGAATTCCTTGTTAGTGAACAAATCCAGGCAGGATTTGGGAAGACTGTGTGTGTGGATACTGAGAATATCTCTGCAAAAGATGTTCCCTTCTCCAGGGAGGTCACCCAGAGTACATTCAGAAGTCCAGGAAGGAGATAAGGCTGAGCACTGGATGTCTGATTTACTTCATGTGTTGGAATTTCCCCTGCCTGGTGCCAGTGTGGTGGCTACCAGCTGAACTGCTGTGGCAGAGTAGGAGAGGAATGAAGAGGGTTTGGTTTTGTCAGCTGAGATCTTCCCCATCTTGGAGAGCCTAAAGGATCGTTTTTGATTCAAAACCAACAAATCCATAGTCTTGATTATGTCCCCTTGGATGTGGGACAACAGCTGACCTTGAAACCAGGAAAAGTGCTGGTTTAAGGCTCTGCAGCTGCCATTAACCATTCAGAAACACTATGGGTGCTGAACTGGGAATTGACCTTGCTCTCAAGAGGATGCTGGTATGGCTTGTCCAAATGGGACATAGTCCATAGTCCATAGTCCCAAATGGGACAAGTGAGGCCACAGTCTCTCAGAACAAAGGAGTCTGTGAGCACCAATAATGTGCACAGACTTCTGACAGTGCTCAGCTGGGCACTGTGGGATCCTCTGGCAGAAGAGGGTCAATCCTGGAGTGTGCATCTAACATGGGGAAGAATGCACAGCTTGTCTAGTCTGCAGAGAAGAGGAGAGCTTGCTATTGTATGGGTGGTTGGATCAGCTTTGGAGGCAGAGCTGTGGGCTCTGGTGCCAGCGCTCCAAAAGCCTGAATCCCTGGGCAGTGTCTGAGGGGTGAAGGCTATGTCTGCCCTTGCTGTGCAGGGAAAGAGTCCAAGGATCATGAGAAAGAAAATGTAAGGAGAATAAAAGAGATTCAGAAGAAGTACAAAGAGAAGGAGCGAGCCCAAGAGCACAGCAAGCCCAAGCCTGTGAAAGCTCTCTGGAAATCTCAGAAATATGAAAACGTGGAGTCAAAGGTGAAGGCCAAACTCCAGGTCAGTACCCACTCAGCTCTTGAGCTATCTGGGCCTGGGATGCAGTTCAGCCCTGAGGCTCTGTGGGAAAGTGGACACAGGGGAGCCCCAGAATCTCTGGATCTGGGGCAGCTCAGTGATGAAGCATGGAGGACAGATGTGACAGTGGGGCTGTGTGCTGAGCAAGAATGTGGCATCTGGCTCCAGAGAGTGATTGCTGTAATAATCTGTGTCCTGTCCAGCCCAGAAGATCTCTCATGCAGGAGAAGCTGAGAGGGGGAAAATCTCATCACACCCTCTGCCTGCAGGCTCCTGCTTGGACTCTTGGGGATATACAGGCTTCCACTGACAGCTGTATTCCCAGTATAGGGGCGCACCCAGCTGTCTTTTCAGCTTCCTGGTGTTTGGGCCAACACTTGTCTGGAGTTAGTGCCAAAGGGCTGTGGTATTCTATTCCATAGATCATGGTCCTCCGAGGTTTGTCTTCAGGCTGCATCAAACCTCAGTCCAACTCTTACCACCCTGTGGACCCACAGTGGGCTGTATGTCTCCAAATTCTTCTCTGAGTGATTGTTGTGGTGAATAACCTGTGTGCCCCCATGGGGGGGCTGTGTGCCCCCATGGACCCCCATGGGGGTACACAGCATCTCCAGGCAATCAAGGTGGAGGTCTTACACACGAGCGCAATTGCAAGGGTGTATGTACCTCCTGTGCTTGTGACGAAAAGGGCTGTGGAGCTGTGCCTTGTTTCCTTGGGCTTTCTCAGCTGCTGAAACGAGCAGATGTGTGGCCTTGTGAAGGTTTTGGGTTGGTGTTTGCTTCTTTCTCTCTCTGGGTCATTTTTCCTCCCCTGGTGGGTTCCTGGTGTTTAAATGGTGCCTCTGTCAGAAGGCTTTGCTAAAAGTGCCAAAGACACTGCCTTGGTAGAATTGTACCTGTTTGTACAGAAATGAAAGTGAAGGCCATGGGGGAGGGAAGGAAAGCTCCATCACTATGTTTGGGTGAATCTGTTGTCATCAGTCTGGAAGCCTCTGTGGTCCAGGTGACCTCTTGTATTCCATTAGCCTCTTCTTTCATCCAGAAATAGGCACTGTAGCTCTTACGGATGGGGTTGGCTCCGGCTGCACAGCAGGAAGCAGAGGGGTGCTGTGCCACCCCCATCATAGTGACCTCCAGGAGATCAGGCCCCAGGGCTCCCTTCCAGCTCAGCCTCATATGGGAGAAGCTCCTTGAGCAAGTGGCAGTGCAGGGCTCCTGCCTCCACCAGTGTAACCTTGAACTGTTAGAGCCTGCATTCCCATGAGCCTCAGGAGAGGGCTTTGTCCTGCAAGTCCCTGCTAGCCTTCATGGTCTCCATCTCTCTTCTTTTTGCAGCCCACCAGGCTGTGTGGACAGGAATGACACAGGGAGCTGCTGCTTGTGCAGACAGTGGGTGCAAGCTGGGTGACACCTCAAGCACTGCCACTTACACAAGCCTTCCCTTGGTACTCCCTTGCTGAGTTGGAGCCTCCAAGTTCCTCCTCATCTCTGCATTGCTTCACCCTGGTCCAAAGCAGCCCTCCATCCAACTTTTGACACTAAAATTATGTGTACTGTGAACAACTGCAAAAATTGGCAAGATGACTTCCAAGCCACTGGTTCTGAGTGCTGTGTCCCTTCTTCCCGGTGACACCAACCTCCTTGAGGTCTGTGACCTTTCCACACATGGGAACAAACCCACATGTGCCTTAGGAATACAAGCCTACGCTCTCGTTTGACAAATCTTCTGAGTTAGAGGAAGATTGAGATAATTTCTTCTTTTGTTCTGGGGAAGAGGGTGATCTCTGTGCAGGCAGTTTCTGCGTGGTGTGTTCCTTGTGCTCCAGAGGTGGCGGGAAGCCCTGGTGCTGACTCATGTTGCTTTAACTATTACTGTGGCTCTCCTGGAGCTGGGGTGTTCCTTTTGAAGGATCTCTCTCTTCCGTGGAGCTGGTGATGATCAGAGTTTAAATTCAATCTGTTAGAGTGCTTCTTTAATAGAAGAAGGCTTACACGCTTGACTTAGCAAGCCTGGGTCTGGATTTATGGGCTGCTGCAGTTTGGAGACCTTGATCAGACCCTCTCTTAACAACAGTAATTGACTAATTATGCATCCCATTTTTGAACTGTGGCCTTTTGAGCTACTCCCTGAGGAGGAGGTGATCCATTAAGGATTGGATTCAGAAGGTGAAGAGGACCCTGTACTATAACAGCTTGAGATGTGTGTAGTTTCTCAGCTTCCTTAATGGCTTTAGTAAGGCACAGGACCCCTTGTCCTCAATCTGAGTACCACTCTTCAGTTTCTTTAAATGAGGTAGAAGAAAACAGTAGAGGCCTGGCTGGTCCTTGTGGTCCCTTTTAGAACACACCACATAAGAAGCGTGGGGGCAAATCCCCACTCCACTGTTAATGGATCCTGTGGTGCAGTGGGCCTGGTTCCTGGTAGGCTTTGAGTTCATCTTTCAGAGGATTAAGGGCTTCTCTAAGTTGTGGAGTCTAGTCACATTCCTTATTTTTCCAAAGCAAGTTGTATAGTGGGAAAGCAATTACCAAAAACCTTGATGCATGTTTTCACCAATAACCTCATTTGCCTAACAACTGTTGTTATTCTGTTTTATTGCCTAGGGTTTGTCCTTCTTGATGCTTGAGAGGGTTCATCAGGTACTGCAACAGCTCCTGCTATCCACCAGACCCCTAAGAATTTAACTTCTTGTCTGGAAACTTGGCAGTTGGAGGGTGGAATGTTTGAGGCCATTTTTATTCAATAGATTCCAGATGGCTGCAGCCCATTGCCCCTCCTGTACTTTATTGTCTCCATCCATTAAGATATCATCTATACATTCATATATGTGAACATCTGCTGGCACCTCCACAGGACTGAGGAGCTTGGCCAAGGCACTGTGGGGAATAATGGGGGAATATTTATACCCCTGTGGGAGTTGGTTAAAAGTATACTGCATCTCCTCCCATGTGAAACCCAGCTGGGGTTTGTCTTCTCCCCTTAGGGAAACCATAAAAACCATATCCTTAACATTTGGCGTGGCCATCCAGGGGTGGACAGCAGCCTGTCCTTCTGTCACTGCTGAGGTTAGGCTTGGGACAGCAGCAGTCAGCAGTGGAGTATTGCTGTTAAGTTTCCTGGTATCAGTTGATAAACACCACTGGCCATCAGCCTTATGGACTGGCCAGACTGGAGAGTTCCAAAGGGTATGTGTACGATCTGGAAAATGTCTTCTCTAGATCTTTAATCACTTTGTAGATGCCCCATTTGGCAGCAGATACTGAGCAGCACAGGTTGCTCTAGGCTGTGGTAGTGCAGCTGCAGCCTGTGAAAGCCTCACAAAAGAAGCTTCTGCTTCTCTGCTTCCAAACTCCACATCCTGCCATAAGGTAGATCACATCCCTTGCCTGCTGGTATGCCAAACCCTCATCTATTTTTCTTGTGAGGGCTCAGAGCCACTTCCACAGCTGCCATCCTTTTCTCACCAGGCAGCCAGAGTTGAGTTTGAGCTCAGGGGAATTTTTCTGCTTACACCAGTTACCCCCACTGTACTTACAGCTTTCCTTGCCTGGTTAATTCCTCACTTCTCCACTTGCTGCTTCGTTAAAACACTAATATGGTCCCTGTATCAATTGAAATTCCCAGACTTAGGGTATGTCTATGGGCTCTTAGCAGCAGCCATTAGCAGTTACCACTAGGTGAGTGGGCAGCTGAACCCAAATCCCAAAGTTGTGGATTTTAACCCCTTCAGGTCCTCCCAGTGACATACCAAAGGGTTAAGGGCACCACTGCTGTTTGGGGTTGTGTCATCTTTGTGTCTGCTGGGCTCTTGACCCTTCCTCTGTCTGGGGGGCTATCAGTGCAGCTGCACTCAGGTACAATGCGTAACACTCCTCACCAAAGGGCAATTCTTTCTGAGCCCTAAATGGTCTACCTCAGGAAGGTTCAAGGTCCCGGTGGGGTCCTCCTCATTGTGCTCCATGGCTGCCCAAGTTCTCTTTCTCAGAGACTGACTGTTTCCAGGGTGTCTGGTGATCCTCTGAGGAGGGCTCTGATGTGGCTGGGACCTCCTGGAGGTCCCATACCTCTCTTGGGTGCAATCAGCCTTTGGCACTCCCTGTGGCAGCTTGGACAGTGCTTTTCCTGGGGCAGGGACAGGCTCTCCTCTTGCTTGGGCTCTACAACCCCGCCCAAGTACCCCCTTAGTAGGTTATTGAGTGATCACCCATCAGTCCGTGGTTCAGAACCACTCCTGGACCTCCAAACCTGCTCTTTTCTTCATCACCGCACAACACCATATCTGTGGCACAGGCTCTCCACAAATACTCTGTCTCCATTTTTGCTCAAAACCTTCCTGTGCAACTCCCTGAACTCAGGTCCCAACCAGGAGCAGTGCACAACATGGGCTGGGGTCCTGCTGTGCAGACCCATCTGCCTGTCAGTTTTAATGAGAGCTTGCATGTTCCTTTTCTCCAGCTCCACCACCTCTTCAAAGCTCTCATCAGAACCTCCCCACATATCTGTGGGGTCTGTGCCCATAATCAGCTGCCAAACTGGGACAGCACGGGTGGGTCTTTGTGCTCGTGCCAGCATAATTTCAATTCTTTGTTCCAATAAATGCTTTTGCTCTCTTTCTCTTCTAAATTCCTCTTCTGAACAGTCCATTTCCAAATAACTCCTTGCAAAACAATCCTGTGCCTGTACCAAGCCCATGCCCAGGATGGCACACGTGCTCTCTTCACCACCTCCCCCATCTCCACAGTGTTGTTCCATTCTCTCCTGGGTAAAACCACTTCTCCTTCACCCACTGTACACCCAGGGGAGGAGTGATCATCCGTGCACTTGTCACCTCTCCTCTATGGGCATCCCACTGACTACGCCGGTTTAAATGTAACAGAACCAATAAATAAAGGCTAAATGACATTTATTGCTCAAACTCAATTCAAGCTCCACCAACATCACCTCCAGATTTGGGATGTCACATGGATTTGTCACTACACTGCTGATTCTTAAACTTTATGGCCAGTGATCCAAAATATACAATCCTTCACCTGAAAAGGGAAGGCTGTCAATCTCAAGGAATCCCCTTGGATGGCGACGTGACCCAAGGGGAGAGTCTCTGACTGCAGACCTGCTGCTCCAAGGAGGAACAGCTCCAACGGGCTCTCCAGCCAGGCTCCTTTTATACTCTTGTCTCACCTGAGCTGTGGTCAGATATGGTCATGTAGCTCCCATGGGCTCAGGGCCCAACTTCCTATTTGTCAGGGCTTTGTCAGGGCTTTGTTGGGGTGGTTGTACCTGCTATAACTTGTTTGACTTTGAACCAGCCATGCTGGGTAAAGGCATTTCTCATTAATTTACTGGAGAGATCTGGATCTCCTGGCTCCTGCTGCAACAAGACTGATCATCTTTGGAGCCTGATCTGTCCAGGCAGTGCTGAGGGCATTGCATACCCTAGTTAACACTAGAACTAGTCATTTGAGCATCCTGTCCCATGTCTGCTAAACTACAGGGAACAGGCAACAAGGAATCTGCCTCAAGGGGCCTGCAGTTCAGCTGAGAGAGCAGCTGGGAGCTTGGCTACCTGTGAAGATCTGGAGGCTGCCCTGTACAGTTCCTGTGGCTTCCAACAGCAGAGCAGTTCCCTGGTCACCCACTTGTCAGAGTCAACTTTCAATTTTCAGGGTTTCTTTGCAACAACACTGTCTGAGATAGTCCCCAGGCCTTTTGTTAGATGTCAGGTAGTGTAACTTTGTGCCATTTGTAACCACAACCTTTGAAGATGCCTCTCATGCTATTCCACCCTCCCCAAAACACCAGACTCCTCCACTCCCCACTCCTCTTTCTGTCTAGAGTAGCATAACCATAGATTTGGGGTGCTGAGCAGAGCAGCACTTGAGACCAGCAGCTCAGCACTTAGCTTTGTGTCTACCTGGGCTTTTTCAGTCAAGTTTGCTTGAATGGGCTCTGGATTTGTGGCACTGGGATGGCTTCAGGGAGCTCAAGTTCTCTTCTGTTGCCAACAAGGGAGACTGGCGTGTGTCTTGCCTTCAGCGTGCTTTCTCCACATTGCCATGTGCCCCTTCCTCAGGAAGAGTTCTGCTTTTTAAGGAGTCGTGATCAATGTCAGTATGGACAGCGTCCCTAGCTCTGGTAGGTATCTCTGTTGGGTTATCTGGTGTTTCTTTCCCTTCATGCCTACCATTTTAGTGAGTAAAAGGACTCTCCAGTCAATGCTACGTGCGTATTTGATCCAAATGTGTGTTTCAGCAGATTTCCCCCCCCCCCTTTTTTAGCGTTTCTTTAAAAAGTTCAGTTGCCAGGTCTGGATTTGTTGCTGTAGGCAGCCAGTTTGGCCTCTGCTGGCTGAGTCCAGATTGTCTTCCCCCACCAGCTCCTGCCAAGTCATGGCAGAAAGAGGGTGCTGTCATCTGCCTGCTGGAAACTTGTGGTTGACCTCCCAAGCTTTGTTGGGTTGGTTTCTCTTTTCTCCAGCCTTCCTCCACTATTGGATCTTTTCTTGTCTCTCCCAGGAGAGCTCCCCACCTCCAAATCCAGAGGCTCTGAAATTCCTGAGGGCATATTCTCGCTGTGGTCCTGGGATCAAGCCATGCAGATCGCTCTCCCCAGGGCCTGCCAGAATGAAAACAGGAGCAGACACAGAGGATCCAGAGGCACTGGGTGTTGAAATCAAGGTGAGTTGCACACTGACTGCATCCATCCCAGACGTTTCTGACACTTAACTTTGCTCCTGTTTTGTACTCTTCATGTGTTCTTCTAAAGTGTTGAGTCAGGTATGCTGTGTGAACAGGGATATCTGTAAATACTCTTCCTGGCTGAAGGGAAGGAGCAGGGTCTTGGTCACTGTGTTCAAGGATTGCTAATACTAGCTCTGGCTTCACCCCTACTCACAGTTAAAGAGATTGTGAAGTTCCCTTTGAAAATCCCACCTCTTCACTGTACAAGGGCCAGTGATCTCCAGTCTGCTCTTTGTAGGGCTTTGCAGGAGATCTTGGGGATTTGGAGGCTGTCCCCACCTTAATCAAAGGAACTGTGGCTTCTGGATGTTAGATAAAAAAATGGGAAAATGGGTGAGCTTTTTAGAAAGGAAGGTTAAATAAGTACTAACAGTTAAACCTTTCCGGTGGTCTGTCTGGGAGATCCTAAACTGTTCTGTGACTTGTGTCTTCTTTCTTTGGCAAGAATGGGGTTGCCAGTCTGTTGGTTCCCAAAGGCCATGGAGGGACTTAATTTAAACAGGGCATAAGCTCCTAAGGAGGAAACCCAAGAAAACAAACTTAAATCCAGTGACCTTCTGCCCTGTCTTGGCCACCAGACAAGTTGTGGTAGCGAGTGCTGTCATCTGAGGAAATGCCCCCAAGGACCAGCTAAGCTCTGCCAGGCTTCTGATGAAGGCCAGAACAGTTTTAACTCTGACCTTCCAGCTGCCCTGATGGGCTCAGAATACTCCAGTAGGAGCTGTGTGGACTACGCCAAGCCTAGTTCTTTTTGTCCTCCTGAATTTGAGGGCATGGGGTCAGCCTGAGGACCTCAAAAAAGCCAGTTTTAGGCTTGGCTTTTGGTGCTTGCCTTCTCACACCACAGTCAATAGCTCCTGCCTGACTATGGCTCCACACCTGAGATGGGGTGGGCTGAGGGTGCGCCTGTCCTACTGCCCTACACCCCCAATTTGGTGTCTTGTGCAGGTGCCTCTTTGCTTTGTCCCTTGTGGGGACAGGGTTTCTGTGTGTGTATGTGTGAGCTGGGCCATGCTGCCTCCCTCTCTCTTCTTGCAGATGCAGGTGGAGGGCAGGAGCATCAACTTTGTTAAGCACAACGCCCGCAGTGCCAAGCGGGCCCCGCTGCGGCGGTCCCTGTCCGAGCAGGCGCTGGCCGAGCTGCTGCAGCAGAAGCACCAGGAGCAGGAGGACTACAACACTAAGCAAAAGGGCCATGTCCCCCAGTAGTACGTATGCCCTCTGTGGTCCATGAGTCTTTCCTGCTTTCGTTCACCATGTCCCTCAGCTTCTGCATAGAAGGGGGGCTGAGGACAGAGGTGCTCCTGGCATGTGCAAGCAGTGAGATTTACAGTGGCCTGGGGAATAAAAGCAATTCCTTCTGCTTTCGTCACAAGCATCCCATGGCCAGTGTGGCTGAGCTCAGAAAGAATTTTGTCTCCTTCCTCCCTGGGTTGTTGTTGTCTGATGGTGCTGACATGGGGACACTCTGTGCTATGAGAAGCATGTTCCTACCCCCTGTAAGCCTTGCTCTACATGACATAGCTTCCATATTGCAAGGTCTGCTTTTGGAGAGGCAAATGCTTTGCTCTTCCTTGCAGTATTCAGCCCTGGACCCAGGGTCTGAGGAACATTCAACCTGTAACTTGCCTGTTGGGGTTCTGAGTGGAAAACCTCCTGGTGACCCTGTCCTAGGACTGACCATGGTGTCAGTCCTTTGGCTCCATACTGTGCATGCTGTTCTCTGCCAGCATCCCTGGCTGTGAGCAACTTTGTCCAGCTTCATTCTGTCACTGGCCTGCAGGTGGTTTTGAGAGGAATCAGTAGCCTGGGCCAGAAGCAAGAAGCAGAATCCCTTGTCTCCAAAGAGCTTGTGTCGGCCTCAGTGCATCTCTTGCATCAGTGATTCAATGCACATGGAGCATGTTTGCTGGTCCATGCATGTCGGCTAAGCCCAGTATACCCCTCCATGGCAGGAGTGTGTGCTATCAGCATGGGTCTCTGTGGTCCTCAGGCAGGAATGTCGGGTGAGGTTTGAAGGGCTCAGTTCCTGGCATCTGCCTGCCTCCCTGGGCACCTCCTTCTGCCAGATGTAATGACACGTGCTTCCTTTGCCTTCCCTCTGCCTTGCCAGCCTGCTGGAGAGGAAGGAGCTGTGGCGCAGAGAGATGGAGGAGCGGCTGCGAAACCTGCCAGATCCCAGCATACCACCTGGTCATACCAAGATGCAAGAGGACCAGCGGCTGGAGACCCTCGGCAGTCTGAAGCAGAGTAAGAGGAAAAGAAACAGGGATTCCAGCTCAGAAAAATGGGTGATTCTAGCCAGGATTTGGGAGATGAGTTCTGGGACACAGGTTTCTGTTGTGTGGAGTTATCTGGACAAAGGCGTGTAGTTGGGATGTGAGATGCATGTGTGGAAAGAGCAATTTCCTTCAGGCTGGTAAGCAGGCTTGTCCAATAGACCTGATGTTAGGGTTACTATTGCCTTAATATGATAGAAAGAATTTGATTGGAAGGGACCTTCAGCGGTCTTGTATTCCAGCCTTTGGTTTTTCAAAGATGGCGCAGGTCACTCAGGTCCTCATCCAGCAGAGCTTTCAATGGAAAGAGGGGTATTATAAGTCCTTCTTCCAGTGCTGCCATCATTTTTATGGCTGAGGTTGAGGTCATGGGAAAAGGACAGATTTCTTTGCTCTTCCACTTGCACAACTTGTTTGGTTTGGCTTTGTGTTTTGCAGGCCAGGAGCAGCTGGTAAAGGACCTGGTGATGCTGCCAGTGAGAGCAGACACTCTCAGCATGCAGAAGAGGCGGGTGGAGCTGGAGAGGAAGCTCTCCCAAATAGAAGAGGCCATCAAAATTTTCTCAAGGCCCAAGGTCTTCATCAAGCTGGATGCGTGAGCTAGGTTATGGTTAGGGCCCATGCAGGTGCCAATGCAGTGTCCCAGTGTGCAGCCAGTGTCTCTTGCTCATGCTTCAGTGATGTGCCTGTCCACAGAAAAGGGAGGGAGAATCCCTAATATACTCTCTGTGGTCTGGAGAACAGTTGTCTCTGTGTTGCTTGACTTCTCAGAGATCAGCTCTCTGTTCCAGATTCATGGCATCACCTCTTTTTTTCCCATTTTTTTCCCACTTCTAGGAACTGGTACGTCTCTCATGCAGCTGCCTGTGGTGTTTTGTCCCCCTCTCTCTCCTGAGCTGGCCCATGGTCATGGCTCATTCTGGGCACCTGCAGACTTGTCTGCACAAAACCCTTGTGCTGTTGGTCTGCCACATGTGCCCCAGTCCTGAGCACTGCCCCATCCTTCTCATGCAGCTCAAGGACCACAGAGAGGCACAGAGTTTCAGTCCTGTGCCCAGGGAAAAGCTGGAATGGCTGCAGGGGGGTCTGGTAGGATGTCAGGAGAAGCCTTTGTTGTGTGTGGGGCAGGATGTGCTTCCATTATGCATCGCTTCCCTCTTCAGTGTGTGTGCAGCTCCCGGTGGGCTCAGCAGGGCCTGAGGAGCACTGGCATGTGGCAGAAACCAGCAGTACTGATGTCGCACAGGCAGGGGGAGAGCCGTGGGTCCTGGTCCCACTTCCCGCAGAGGTCCAAGGTGGCCAGGGAAGTCAGGTTTCACAGGGCTGGGGTGCTGGGATGTCATGGCAGACTTGAGTGGAGGATGAGCAAAGTCCTGGTAGATCTCAGTCTGCAGCCTGACAGGACAAGAGTGGGTAGATGCCATTGTGGAGGTGAGCTCATGGCCTCCTTAGCTTCAGATGCCACACAGGGACCTGTGGAGACCTTTGCAGGGATCCTGATGAGTGAAATGTAGACAGACTTGACCTAAAAGGGATCTCTGGAGGGCTTGGTCTATGTCCTCCTCAGCAGAGGGACAGATCCACAGCTGGGGGCCTTCTCCATCTGAGTTAACATCTCCAAGGGCAGGGCTGCCACCACCACCTCACTGGGGCTGTCTCCAGGCAGTGCCATCCTCAGGGAAAACCTCCTCTGAAGCCCCATCAGAATGTCCCTCATTGCAGCTTGTGCCTGTTGCCCCATTTCCTTCGCTGAGATGACTGCCCCAACCAGGGGTTTTCTCCAACGTGGGGAGGGTTTTTGGGGTAGGGGTGTTGTGGAGCAGGGTCCAGCCCTGCCTACAGCACCCTGGGAGATACTGCAGTGTCCTGGGACATCAGGGGCTGACGCTGCTGCCAATGGATGAAGAAACTTTTAGTGCTGGAGGAGGTGAAGATGCCAACCTGAAAATCAGCCACTGACCAATGGGGTTGCTCTCGGAGCAAATGCTGCAGCCAGGCTGAGCTGACTGGATGAGAGTGGTGCTGGGGGCTGTGGACACCAGCTCCATGGCACCTCCCTCCCTGTAGCAAGTCTGGACTAACCAGCCCTGCTGCCTGCTTTGCTGCTCTGCCACTGCTCTGCTGCCCACCCAGAGTGTCACTTGGCTCAGGAGCCCTGGAGCTGCAATCCCTGCTTGCCCCAGGCAGGGCTGTGGCTTTGATGGGTAGTCAAAACTTGAACATTTGGCGCTGTGTCCTCAGACCCTGAGAGCTGTGGGTCCTTCTCACCCAGCCCCACTGCGTGCCCTTGGCAGCAGCGCTGATGAGGGGATGCTGTTTATAGGCCTGGGAGAGCTTGTGCAGGCCCTTGACACTAAATCAGCCTTGCAAGGTTTTGGCTAAGCCAGGGCCTCGGGACAGGAGCTGCATGGGGTTTGGGGCTTGGTTCTCAGGGGTCAGCGAAAGCAACAGGACACAGTCCCACTTCCCTGCGGAGGGGACCAGCCGGGGGGCACACTCATGCCTGTGCCTAGCATTGCCTCCAGAGCAAGGCTAGGGCACTTAGTGCTGGTGCTGAAGGACGATGCTGCAGGAGGTGTGGTGACGGGGTTAAGATGGTCACCACAGATGGTGGCCAGCCATATGGCCAGGCCTGTTCCCACCAGGACAGGAGAAGTAGGACCTGTCACCCCCTTGGGTCCATGGGGACTCAGCAGCATCTCTCTGCTGGGGTGTTGCTCCATCCCTTCCCCTGGGCAGGTAGGTGCCCGTCTGAGGCTGGGCCAGGCCAGCAGGAAAGCAAAGGTGAAAGCCACCATCAGCTTAGCACTTAAGTGGTGAGAGAGGAATGGAAGGTGCTGGGAGCCTCCTGGGCTTGGGACTGGAGGAGAATGGAGCTGTGCCATCCAGCATTTGCTGGGGCTGAGTGTCAGCCATGGTGCTGCTGCCAGCCCAAGTGCCACCCAGCTCCTGTGGATGTGATCAGGGTGTCTCCTGTGTGGTGAAAGCCCTGCAGTGGAGACAAGGTGGGAACTGAGGGGAGGCACGCCAAGCTCACTGCCCAGACAGCCTGGACACGTGCCGTGGGACAGGGATGTGCAGGTGGAGGATGTGCTCCAGCATCCCTCCACATTTTCCACGGTGGACCTCACTGGTCCACCTGGCTCAGCAGCAAAGCCACAACCTCAGGGCTGGGGTTCCACAACCACTGTCCTCCCGAGGGACCTGTGGAGCTAATCGTGAGAGGTTCATGCTGGTCCATAATGGGGTGGGCCACAGCATGGGATGGGGTGATAGGGCTGGTGGGGCATGCACCTGCCCCATCCCCTGGCATTGGGCCTGTTTGCTGTCCTGGAGATGGCTGTGCCTTATTGGGCTGCTGGGGTCCAGCCCCTGTGGTGACATGAACCAGGGACCAGCAAGGTGCTTTCTAGAAAAGGTTTTACTGTCCATTGCAATATATTAATTGATGATCCATATTTTGATAAAACACTTTAAAAACCCCCACTTGCTTGGATGCAGGGGGTGGGAGGCCGGGGGTCTCAGAGGGCAGCAGGGCTCCCGGGGACACAGACAGTGGGCAGCCCTCCCTCCTCCACCCCTGCTCACTGGCCCCATCATTGCTGCAGGGCCCACGACCAGCCTGGCTGTGTGGCTGTCACCAAGAGTGGCACAGGACCCTGTGTTGGCTGCCGAGGATGGCACGGGACCCTGTGGCTATAGGGTGAGGAGGGTGCCATCTTCCTGACTGCTGCCCTGGCCAGGGCTGTCGTCGTGGCTGCCAAGGGACTGGAGGGAGCCCTGGGAGCTGTGTGGTGATGGGCTCTGCTGAAGGGGCTGGTCTGTGGGGCCCCCGTTGGGGCAGCCCCTGGGGATATAGTGGGGTGCGCTGTCACTTTCAATGACCAGGTCACCCTCCTCATCGCTCTCAGCCGTGCTATAGTTGCTCAGGTACTGTGAGGCCGGGCTGGGGGTCTGCTGGCTGGGGGTGCTGTCTGTGGACATGCCTGAGCTGCCTGAGGCCTTGCTGCTGCGGATGACGTTGTTGCGCTGGTTGGCTGGCTTGACAGTGATGATGAGGTTGTGGCTGTTGGCCACCATCATGTCCGTCACCTGGTCCAGGGACTTGCCAGCCACATCGATGCCATTGACCTCCAGGATCTCGTCGCTCACGGCCAGTAGCCCCGTGCTCTCGGCCAAGCCACCCTTCACCAGGCGGGAGATGAAGATCCCAGGCACCTTCTCGACACCGTGTGGGGCCACACGCACACTGACACCATCACGGATGTAGAAGCCCAGCGGTTTGTCAGAGCCATGCTTGTGGAGCCTCACACGGCGGTGAGTCTCGGGCAGGATGTCCACGTCGATGATGGAGGAGATCTGTCGGAAGTCCTGGGGCATGCCAATGAGGAGGTGAGTCTTGGTCCGATAGTGTACAGGGCGCAGCAGCCCCTTCTTCTTTCGCTGCAAGGAGTTTGAGGCAAAGACACTGGCATCAGACTCTGCTGTAGGGAGCAAAGAGGACAAGGGTCAGGCACCACAGCTGCCTGTGGATACAGCCACATGCCCCATGTGTTGGGGAAGCCAGCAGGAGAAACTCCCTGCTCACGGGTCTCACCGGCTTTTCCTCCCCAGAGCATCACCCTGGCTTTCCCCACAGCCTGTCTCTGCTGGGCCCATCTCCTGGGATTACCCAGCATACACAAGGTCAGGATTAGAGGGATCTAACTGGTGATTCAGCCTTAATCACACTTTAAGCCAAACTCTGTAGCTTAACACTAGAGCTGCCAGCCCTGATTGCTCAGGTCCCATGGTCATGCCCCACTTTGGGTTTGGGGAGAGGGAAGACCCCTGCACGAGGGGCTGCTGTGATGGCAGCTCCCTGGGGAGAAGTCTAGTCCCTGAAACAGCACCAGAGTTCCTTGTCCTCTCTGGAGCAAGGCCATCATTGGCATGGGATAGGGGTGGCCACAGCTGCATCCTGCAGAGCCCTGTCATCCCCAAGGATGGAGACTCCCCTGCTCCTGGAGACTCATCCCAGGGATCCAGGAACATCCTAAACTATGATGTGTGCCACTGCATCTTACTCCACCATCTGGCACCACCACACAGGGTTTGACCCCATCCCTCCTGGGGCTCTTCTGTGGAGCCTAGCTTCACATACTGCCTCCTCAGCCACATTCAGCAGGTGCTGGGGAGCATCCCCTGAGCCCTCTCTGGTTTCTCCACATCCCTTTCCATGTGGGAGCTCTGATCTGGATGCTTCATTGCTGGCAAGTCCCCCATGATGCCCCCCAGTAGCACAGAGACCCTGCTCCAGCAGCAGGGAGCTGGGGATGCTCCCAAGCCCAGGTGATGTGGGGTTTCTCCTGAGCCAAGCAGCCTTCCAGGGCTCCTGGGTTATAAATATCTCCCTGCACACACAAACCGGCATATTTTTAGCATGGGGAAGGGCGGTGGAGGCTTTCCCACAGCTATTCCAGCACACAGTTCCTCTCTGCGATGCGCGGGGTGGCTGGGCCAGGTAGGGCCAGCACCCCAGGGATGAGTCTTTTGGCAGCTCTGGTGATGTGCCAGGCTTTCCCCTGCCTTTCCCATGGGCCCAGCCCAGCCGAGGTGGGCCAGCACCGTGTCCCCAGCCAGGCTGCCCCCCAGGTACCCAGTAGAGTGACAGTGCAGAGAGGAACCAAGCTGCAGCCTTTGTTTTTTACCTCCCTGAGGCAGTCTTGGCTGCCCAGAGCCCACTGGTGGGTGCACACCTA